CCTTTGAGCAGAAGAAAGAAAGAAAGAAAGAAAGAAAGAAAGAAAGAAAGAAAGAAAGAAAGAAAGAAAGAAAGAAAGAAAGAAAAAGAAAGGATTCGTGAAGAATGGACAAAGTGATCCTCTACCCTATTTTTACAAATAACCAAGACAATTAGGCAAATTTGAAAATGTACAACTCCTAAAGTAACATGGAAAAAATCAAACAAAACGTTTAAGTCCTTTGCATGGAAATAGGTGAAGAGATGCAGACAGAGTTTCTGAGACAGTGATTCCTGAACTGTTGCAAAAAAAAAAAAAAAATGTACAGTAATTTTCAGGAGGCACAACAGAGAGGAAGGTAGCTTGTGCAACATCTCTGAGACTAAAAAAAAGAAAAGTGTTATAAAATTTTGAACATTTAAATGAAACTAAAATACGGGGACTCTGGAACAGGATAATGGGGAGAGGCTGAAAACACATGTCAGTGCCAGATACTAAGAATTTTATGAATCTTGTTCAGGAATGTGGACTTTATCATGAAGGCAATAGGGAGTCATAGATGTCTCTGTTTACAAAGAACTCTAATGAAAATATGGGGGATGTATTAAACTTATGAACCCTAAATAAGATTTAGCAGGTTAAGTGACTATTATGTGGGAATGAAAATATCATAAACTGTCAGATGTGATACCAATCATCTTTAACAAGATATGTAACTTCTCAGGAGGGTTCTTAATCTCAGGCTATTGAACCAGGCAACAACATGAAGAAGTATTAATCTTAAAGACCCTTAGTCTCTACAGACACTGAAAGAAATCACAAATGGAGTTAAATGTAATAAATTAGAACACATGTCAGGCAGGCATGTACATTGGGCTTCTTTTGCATCAGTCTCCAAGATGTGATAAGTTGTTTGATGGTGGCCGGCTTCTCTCAGTTACATGTCCCACATCTAACTTACATTTTAATTGCCAATCATTTAATTTTAAATGATTAATGGTTGGATCATATTTAGTTTGATAACTCTAGTTCCAGCAATCTTCCAGTTACCAGATACATTTCAACAGCAATTCTATTGAGACCAAATCTATTTTCACTATGGTCTAAAAATAAGGATTTCAGTTTTGTTTTAGAAACCCATATGAAGCATGCCTAGCATGCTGAAGAAGAGATTTTATAGACTAGTTGGTATCATTTGTTTTCAAATTTTACAAAGATCAAATACAGTGAAAGGAAACTTCAGCTAAATCATGAGACATTTATATGAGGCATATATACACAAGATATTTCAGTTTGAAATTATCAAGGTAAAAGAAGAAATCTTCTTTGGAAGCATAGAAGAGTCTGAAAAATTTCAGTTATCTAAAGAAATTTAAGTTCTCGAAAGAGATGGGAAAATGTCAGATAGACTTCTCAAACTTATCTCAGTTCTCGATTACTCCAATCTCTTTTGTTTTTTTCTACCAGTAACAAGCCTCACACTGATGTGAAGTGATTTGAGGCTTAAAAAAAAAAAGTAGTATATTGATTTTGAAAATTCCCAATGCGAATGTCAAATTTTTTTTACCCACTGTCTAAAGCAAAAAAGGTGAAGCTCAGTGGAGAGAGCTTATATTACATCTGTACCACATGTCATGTTTTATGTAAATAAATAAAATATCAAAGATATATCACAAATGAGCTTTCCATCTATCTCTTTCTCCTTTTCCTTTTCTCCCTCTGCAGATGCTTGCGTAAGTGTATGAGATTTTTCCATTTTGTCCAAGTAAGCATTCTTCGGACATCTTTGTTCATGTGATATTAAAATTTTGATTAATCCTTGCTCTGTTTAATTGCATGAAGACCAAAATACCCTAGTAAATTGTCTCAGGTGAAGACATCCATTAACTCTGGAATGCTAGTACACAAGCTGATTGCTATTCATACCATGTCTATTTTTTTATTTGGAGACTACCAGTAAGAATGTACGGTATTTGTACTAGTAAAAGCAAGTATGCCATCAATGTTACCATGTAGAAATATCATGTGCATTTCCTCAAGTCTTTGGAAATCAAATTCTACTTTTAAATATGAAAAATGTTAAGTTGTCAGGATAAAGCTCTTTAAAATGTACTCCGAGATGCTTTTATAAAATTGACTGTCAAGACAAATATACAGACAGCAACACCACATTATTAGATTCTCAAGTGAGTATGAAAAATAGAGAATGGCATGAGATTTGTTTTTGTTTGGCAAATCCAATAAATTTTTATATATGTAAACTATTTTAGGACATCATCACCCACTCCAAGCACTGCAACATTATGTCTTTTCTTCAAAGATGAGAATTATGCCTTCCTGTATTGTTCCTCATGGATAATAAATGAAATAAACAGCCACTCAAATGAACTCCTATTAATCAAGCATTATTGAGGGGTGGGAACAGAAGCAAAACAAATAAAATACTCAAGTGACTTCATCACACACATTCTTAAGCCTGATAAGCAGGAGAAAGATTAAGACTGCAGGTACATACAATATGTAAACTGAAAAGTTATTTTATGAATAGGTGGGAAGTCATCTTCATAGAAATACAACAATGAACTAATGAGATGTTATACAAATTGATCTAAAATATGAGGAGGGAAAGAGTCTGGGTGTTTAGCTATCAAGGTACATAAGCAATCTGATCTAACTCCATTTAGACTTAGTCAAACTGCTCTTTGCTACTTATCTGAAAGTCTCACTTCAGACTCTATGATGTCACCCAGCATATATTCTAGAAACTACAGCTACTGCTCTCTTTGGAGTTACTGCCATGTTCCCATTGCCTCACTCACTATACTCTACTCGACTGATGTGAACTGTGGTGATATTCTATGCTTGTCCACCTAACATCTAACTTGGCTTCTGGACAATTACTCAGCGACATGTGGTAAACCTTTTAGTTACTAATCATCTAACTGTGCTGAACATGAAATGTCTTGCTTCTTTCCACCCCTACTTACTGTATCTCTAGACTGTACCCTCCAATTCACGGGGTGTTTGTTTTTGTTTTTGTTTTTGTTTTTTGAGACGAGGTCTTGCTATGTTGCTCAGACTGATCTTGAACTCCCGATCTCAAGCAATCCTCCTGCCTCGGCCTCCCAAAAGTTCTGGGACTACAGGCATGAGCCACCATGCCTGGCTTCATCAATTCTCATCTCTCAAATTTCTGCCAGTAATCAATTGACTGTCAAGACAAATATACAGACAGTCACAACACATTATAAGATTCTCAGCTGCGTATGAAAAAGAGAGAATGGCATAAGATTTTTTTTGTCTGGCAAGTACAATAAATTTTGATATATGTAAACTATTTTAGGACAACATTACACATAGTTCAATATATCTAATAATCAATGCACAGCAGACTCAAGAGCTATTTACCTAGTAGCAGCCACCCCAAAACCACCCCTCTTATGGCTGTCAACCACTGAGCTTTATTTCCTGAGGCTATTAAACATTGGATCTTGTGTCCAGGACCTGCTGTTCTTTGAGCCATCTCCCCTATGGTCATCAACTTCTAGGTTATATGTCCAGTAGCTTCAGACCCTTGAACTACGTGTCTGACAGTTTTCAACTTGTTTCCTGCATGAGCTCAGTTTCCAACAAGTTTGTTCTTCTTTTGAGAGTTGGCAATCTCCACTTCTTAGAAAATCATGCTGAACTGCCATCCCAGCATCTTGCCTGATAGCTTTATACAGAAATTTTATCTTTAGGTTGGTGAATTTTTTTAGGCTGATTTTTCATTGTGCTTATAGCTCAGCTGCTGTTTTAATCTGCACCACTTTACTTAATTAAAGTTTATCTGATTTTAATTTTTTCTTCACAAAAACATTTTCTCTGTCAAACCTTCTTGATTTCTATGCCATTAACACGTTCCTAAATAAGAATGGTTTTCAGGGTTATCTCTAAATAAACTAGTTTCAAATAATACAAAAATAGTATTTTTGGTTCTTTATTATCTAATGAAGTTAAGACTTTGTAGTTTTTTAACATATTTTTTATTTTAAAATTGTGGGGTACAGTTAAGGGTTAGTTATACAAATATACATTGTGCAGGTACCCTTGTTGATGAGGTGTGCCCCCATCCCCAGACAGATATCAACAACCGTTAATCCCACCTCCCTTCCCCTCCCTGTCCCCTCAGTTTCCCACCACTGTCAATCCTTTTCTTATAGTATTACGATAGTTGTTCAAGGACCAATTATGAGTGAGAACATATGATGCTCAGATCTTTGTTTCTGTGAGAGCTCACTCAGTACTATAAATTCCAGTTCCATCCAGGTTGCTGCAGAATTCATGATTTTGTTCTTTTTTACGGCTGCATAATATTCCATTGTGTATATGTACCACATTTTTTTAATCCAGTCCTCTTTTGATGGACAGCATGGTTGGTTCCATGATCTTGATATTGTGAACAATGCTGTAATAAACATACACGTGCAGGTATCTTTTTTATAGAGTGATTTGTGTTTTTCAGGGTATATTCCCATTAGGGGGATTGTGGGGTCATATGGAAGGTCGATTTTTAGAGCTTTTAGGAATCACCACACTGATTTCCACAGAGGCTGCACTAGTTTACACTCCCACCAACAATGTATTTGTTCTCTTTTCACCACATCCTCTCCAGTATCTGTTATTTTTTGAGTTATTGATAATGGTCATTCTGACTGGAGTTAGGTGGTATCTCAGTGTAGTTTTAATTTGTATCTCCTTGATGATTAGTGAGGTTGAACATTTCTTCGTGTGTCTGTTGGTCGCTCGTATGTCTTCTTTTGAGAAGTGTCAGTTCATATTTTTCACCCACTTTGTAATGGGGTTGTTTGTTTTTTTCTTATCAGCATGTTTGAGTTCCTTGTAGATTCAAGATGTTGGGCCTTTGTCAGACATGGAGTTGACAAATACTTTTTCCCAGTCTGTGGGCTGTCTCCCTGCTCTCTTGATGGTTTCTTTGGCTTTGCAGAAGCTTGTCAGTTTATTGACGTCCCACTTGTCTATCTTATCTCTTATGGCCCATGCGTTTCAAGTTTTGTTCAGGAATTGGATGCCAGTTCCAATTTCTATAAGGGTATGTCCTGCATTTTCTAAGGTTCTTATGGTTCGAGGTTTTACATTTAGGTCTCTGATCCATTTAGAGTTAATTTTTGTGTATGAGGATAGATAGGGGTCTTGTTTGAGTCTTCTGCATGTGGTCAGCCAATTTTCCCAGCACCATTTACTGAATAGGTTCTCCTCTCCCCAGTGGTAGGAGGTGGAGGCTTTGTCGAAGATGAGTTGGTTGAGAAATTGAGGTTTTGCTTCTGGAATCTCAATTCTATTCCATTGGTCTATATGCCTGTTCCTATACCAATACCAAGCTGTTTTGATTATTGTTAAGACTTTGTAGTTTTACTAAACAAATATATTTAAAGAAAAAACATCTGAAAAATGCTGGCAAGAGAGATCCTTTCGGGAATCTGATTGAACATGTCAAACTACTTGAGCATTAAATGTGAACCTGCATTTTCTAACACTTAAAAGGGGAATAATTTTCTAACACTTAAAAAGGGAATAATCAGAATAGACTACGTTTTACCATAGTAATAAACAACCTCAAAATTCCTGGTGCTTAAAGTCATACTGGTCTACTTATCACTCTTACTACACATTCATTGTTTCATCTCCAAAATCATTCTCATTCTGGGACCCAGGCATAGAGAGTCTTCATTATCTGGAATGCTGCCAGAAGAGGTAGAGGAAAGATTGCATGGAGAATTAATTGCCCATCTATACTATATATGTCTGCCAACTTATTGAACAGAGCAAGTTATAATGTCTACCCTACCTTATGAGATTAACCACAAAGGAGTTATATAATTTATAGCTCTGGACAATGGAAAGCACAACATTATTTTTTTCTCTTGAATTAAACATAAGTCCCGCCCCCCACCAGTCTCCTCGTGGACCCTTGCAGAGAGTATATCACTATTAACTTGGAATCTATTTCTCTCTTAGATGTCTGCATGTAACTCACTAATCTAGTTCTTCATGCACTCAGTTCTTATAAGTAACTTCTCATACCCCAATAACTATCACCACTATATTAATCCCCTTCAATGTGCAGACATACCACTATATGATCAATAATCTCCACCAGGCACAGTGACTCATGCATGTAATCCCATTGTTTTGGGATACCCAGGTAGGAGTACTGCCCAAGCCCAGGAATTCAAACCAGCCTGGGCAATATGACAAGATATCGTTTCTACAATAAGTCAAAAAATTAGCTGGGCATGGCAGCAGGTGCCTGTCGTCCCAGCTACCCAGGACTGAGGTGGAAGGACCTACTAGCCCAGCAGATGGAGGTTGTGAGAGTCATGATCGTGCCACTGCATTTCCGCCTGGTGACAGAGTAAGACTCCAACTCAAAATAAATAAATAGTAAAATAAAATAATAAAATAATCTTCCAACACACCAATGAAAAGATATTATTCACCCCATTTTTACAGGTAATAAAAATCAAATAGTTCAAGCAATTTGCCCAAAACCCCACAAAAGTTGGATTCCAAAGACTTTTCCCTATCCTTCATATTATCTGTATTTTTCTTCATTCAGGTGGTGATTGATCTGGAAGCCACTTGGAAGTTGTCAATAACTTGGTGCTCATGATCTTCAACTCTAGAACTTTCAAGTCTAAATTGTGAATAACACTATATCCTCTCGGCCACAGCCCCAACCCACCCTTTTTCTCTAGGTGAACTAACATTAATTGTATAGATGCTTATGTCCTCTCTGGAAGTATTATTTCCCATATTGATGGTAGGAAATGCCTTTAATTCCGTCAACTCCTCCACATTAAACTTCTAATTTCAGCATATAATTTATATAAATTATAGAAAGCTATCTAGTCTATAAATTTGCCTATTTTAATTTTCTTCCTTCCTCTCTCCCTCCCCTACTTTCTGCCTTCCATCTTCATTTTTTTCTTTCTTTCATTCTTTTTATGCACTCATACAAAATGTAGTGGGTTTTAGATGAGATCCAATCACGATAATAAGAATAACAATAACAATACAAACAAAGATTATAGACTGAAGGTAATGATAAAAGCTAACATCAGAACATCAGCTACACACTATTTCCTATCTTATGCATGACCAACTCATTTAATTCTCTTAGCCGTCTATGGAAAAAACACTACTGCTAAGCGCATTTTGATGTGAAAATTGAGTTACAGAAACATGTGGTAGTTAATCGAGCATCAGAGATACCATTCAAATCCAGGGAATCTGAGTATTGAGCCCTTGTTGCTAATAACTACATATACAGTTTTCGGGAACTAGTTAATAACACATGACACAATATGGGTTATACAAGAAAAGTTATATATTGTCAAATAAGGCATTTTTTAAACTAAATAAGGTAGAACTGTTCATTTTTGGTATTTATTTTTAGAGGAAGAGATAATTATTGTGGGTATGTTTGTAATATCAATGTATGTTAATGATAATTTTTCTTTAGTCTAACTGGTGACTGGAATTCACTAAATTACAACCTTAGAAAATTAAAAAGAGATGTAACACTTAATTTGCACCTACTGTGTGTCCTGCAGTTTTCTAAGAATTTTTATATTTATTGTCTCATTCTTTCTGCAGGACAATCATATAAGGCACATGCTAATCATCTGGTTTTACATAAGAAAGTACTACAGAAAGAGAACAATTTTCCAAGGTTAAATGCCAAAAAATATTTTTAGATGGTACTCAGTGAAATAGTAATTCATAACTCATTAAGACACCATCCTGGCACTTCTGTCTCAGAATGTTAAACTTTTATAACTTCTGTATTTTATTACACATGCACCACATTCCCATGAAGTTAAGTATAAATCAAACTCAAATTCTTGTCTTTCCACTCACTTATGTTATCATTTTAAAAATATTTCATTTTAATTTATTTCTGTTCCCTAAAATTTGATTTTTCTCATTTGTCCTTCAATTTTTGAAATCATGAATGATCTATTCAACCAAAAACATAAATGCAGTAAGGATGTCCACTATTTTAGATTGCCAGTGCTAAATGTAAGAATCATTTTGAGTCAATATTCATAATTCAATTGCTATATAAGTGTGGATTAGCATACATTTTGCTTTTTAAATCATAAGATCACTTTTGCACAATTTAACAGAATTTAATCAAGTGGAAAAATATGTAATTGCATTACATGGGAGCAAAAAAAATATAAAATTTCTTGTGACCTAAAAGTCAAGAAAATGCCCTCCATTATTTTCCTTAAAAGCCGCTTACTGGAAAATATAGCTTTCTCTGATCTTCTGTGTTTACCCCAAAGGATTTTTAATCTTTGGATAAAATTGGGGAAAGTTCCATAATTCTTTTTTAGTGAGAAAAGAAATCTACTGGCTCATTAGATAAAGGGAGTTTATTTCTTATTCATCAGACAACATGAGTATTTCTCTGAATTATCTGATGGCTAACAAGCTTATTTCTTGCATCTTAAACTTGCCCTGACTACAGAGCACAAACTCTTCAAACTACATAAAGACTACTATATTTTCCTACAGTATTCTGACATAGTGTATTTATTTCTTGTAATGGCTACAACAAATCACCACAAACTCCATGACTTAAAACAAACAAAATTATTATCTTACATTTCTAGAGGCCAAAAGTCCAAAATCAGTTTCACTGACCAAGTCAAGGTATCAACAGGCTGATTCCTTCTGAACTTTCTAGGGTGAAATCCATTCCCTGCCTCTTTTGGTACCTAAAGGTTGCTAGCGTTCCTTAGCTTGTGGCCACATCACTCCAAATTTTGCTTCCAGCCTCTCATTGCTTTTTCTTTCTTTCATCTATTGCCTCCCTCTTGTAAGGACCCCTATGATTACATCAGACCTACCCAAAAAATCCATCTCAAGTTCTTTAATTTAATCACATCTGGAAAGTCTCTTTTGCCCCATCAGTCAGCATTCACAGATTCTCTGTATTAGAAAGCGAGCATCTTGCAGATGAAGAGGGGTGGTAGGGAGGGGGCATTATTCAGTCTTCAACATATAGCAAATACTATAAATAGGAGAATTAATGGGAGAAAATATCTTTTGGTAATTACATGACAGTGAAGTAACGCCTATGCTTCTACAAAGGCTTCAGAGAAGAATGCCATCCAAATGACAGTATTCTTTCCTTTTGTAAAAGCCTGCCATTGCTATGAACCTGATATTTGCTCTGTTACTGATGCTGTTTACTCTGTCTTTCAAAGATGCAGACTAGGTCAGACGTGGTAGCTAATACCTATAATACTAGCACTTTGGGAGACTGGAGTGGGAGGATTGCTTGATCCCAGGAGTTAAAGATCAGCCTAGGCAACATAGGGAGATCTCACCTCTACCAAAAAGAAAAAAATTAAATTCAAAAATTAGCCTGGCGTGGTGGCACGTGACTGTAATCCCAGCTACTTATAAAACTGAGGAAGAAGGATTGAGCCTAGGAGACTGAGTCTGCGGTGAGTCATGATCGTGCCACTGAACTGGGTGACAGAGGAATTCCTCACAAACAAACAAAGGTTCAGGCAAAGACAGAAGACACTTCTGTAGAGGTATCATTTATAGACAATAGTAGAGCAAATGGGGTAGGGTGATGATTACATATGAATGCGAAAATCTGGGTAAAAAGACAAAACATAAAAGCAAGTAAGAGAAGTTGAGCTAACACTGCCTTTGCAAATCTCAGTGTTTACTTGCTTAGAATATCATCATATTAAAAGTAATTTAAATATGTTGCAAAGGTTCTTATTTTAAATATTGCTTATGCTATATGATGTTCTACATTATTTTATTGGATTACACTTATGTGAATAATATTAACTTAAGAACCTCATTATTTAATGCTAAGATGAAAGGGGAGTATGTAGGATTTGCAGCTAACTGACTTGTTCATTACGTTGGTGTTACTGTTGTTTTCCCTCAAACCCGCACCAAGGAAGTTTAAGATAAAAGACTAGAAGTAACAATGGTATGATGGAGATGCAGAAAAAAAGCTTCAACAGCCTCTGAACTTTTCCAGGTAACACTAGGACTCAGCAACTGAGCAAAACGTTGACCATCAACTAACCACCCTATGCATCTTTTTTTCTGTTTTGCCTGCCTCAGGACTGAGATTTTCTGCACTAAATCCCAAGGCTCTCTACAGGCAAACAATATTTTCCTGATTGTGACCTTTTTCACCTCAGAAAAACTCCAGAAAGCAGCAAAAACATGTTTGATAAAGAGTTTCTAATTGTCACCTTAGAATAAATACTGTAAATACAGAGAAAGACTTAAAAAAATCAGATTAAAAATTGGAGAATATCTATAAGTTTAAATTAGGTGCATTTAAAAAATCTAGATGAAAAGTTAAAAACAGTGAGAGAAATTGAATGGTGTCCTATAAGGATAATTTCTTTTAAAAACTATCCCTGTAGGTGATCCTCTCTGAAGAAGTCAGTCCTACCTCTCTCTGAACTCTTCACTACTAATAAATGCATTGCTGGTCCAATATAATAAAGGCTGCAAGTATGAATTATAGCTTATATTTTTAAGAACAAAATGCTAATTCTTTAGTTTAAATTAAAATCTTAAAAACAATTGTTTAGCCTTCACTATAAGAAGTGAAAAGAAGTCCTATTTAATATGCACAGTGCCTATAAGAACTGTACAGGTTCTCCAAATAAAATTTTTTCACACTTATGTGAATAATATTAACTTAAGAACCTCATTATTTAATGCTAAGATGAAAGGGGAGTATGTAGGATTTGCAGCTAACTGACTTGTTCATTACGTTGGTGTTACTGTTGTTTTCCCTCAAACCCGCACCAAGGAAGTTTAAGATAAAAGACTAGAAGTAACAATGTAAAAGACTAGAAGTAAAAATTTCATTCCCTTTTGTTACCATAACCAAAAATAACTACATTCTTCATCACAGGAGTGAAATAAAGTCTATGTACAAAAGAAAGCAAATCAAGAATAAGTAGAATTTATTTGGGGAAGAAATAGGAAAAAATGTTACACATCTGACAGTAATTAAGCTTTATAGTAGGAACAATGGAACACATGATGTATAATCTAAATCAATTAAGAAGGTATAATGTTGAGAAACTGGATTTATTTGATAGTACTATTGCAGAAACTCTTGAAGAAAGGATTTCACAGAAGTCTTGGTTGCTTAGCAACCAATGACCCATGGGGACAAGTTCATTTTTAGCCTGGTGCAGGTCACCAAGCCTCACAGGTATTGGTGTGAGCCTTACCTAGGAATTCTCCAGACACATTAGACGAGAAGTTGTCACCATTATATGGCCTTGCACAGGTAAGAGTCTAGCACATAATGGGGCAACTGATTATTTGTCTTAATAGGTCAATGCCTTATCCTCTCTTCTGAGTTACAATGTTGAGACAGTCAAATTATTTGACTTCTTTCAGAGTATAGGATTAAGTCCTTTAGTATTTTACAGTAGACAAAACAGTGGGTCTAAACATCCTATCTTACCTAAATCCTTGTTAACCTTTTAATAACCACGCTGGAGGAGCCCGTAAACACATGAACTCTTCTTAACCTCTGATTGACAGACGAGAGTTTGTCTATTAACAGAAAAATCACTATTCACTGAAGCTATGGTCTACAGATGGCGAGTGATGGGTGATGGTCAAAGTGGCGATTATGAATACTTTGAAGAATCAAAATAAACTTAGTTGTGTATGAGTGTGAAGACATCAGCAGCTGTGGCTAAACAGCACACTAATGAGATGTTGTAGTGTTGTTGCTCCAGGCAGAGAGAACGAAGAGAGTTTGGAGAAGCTTTTGACAATCAACAGGAAAGGTATAAAAAGTCCTCAGGCCAGAGCCACACAGTACTTGCACAGCTGCCACTGAGCATGCACTTGGGCTCCATGTCGACACCAGGCTATTCTGGAGCCTGCGATATCTTACCCTACCGAACTCACTGCTACATCCCAGTGACTCCCTCTGTTCCTCTTCGCTCCAATGATGTAAGCCCTGCCTTTGGACATTGCTTACCCAGTAGCTACCAAGGAAATCTCTGGCTCCTGGATTACTGCCAAGAATCCTACTGTGACCCGCTGAACTGTGAATCTCCCAACTGTGAACCCAAGACCTGCACCACAAGTTGTGATCCACCAAATTCCTGTGTACCCTGCAACTCCCCATCAGCGGGCCAAGTCTTCAGTGTCTGTGAAACTACCAACATCAGACCCCGCCCCAGCTGCAGCCCATGCACTCAGACCAAGGGGTATGTATCCAATTGCTACAAACCCACTGGATTTGCATCCAAAGCCTGCCAGACCCTTTGCAGTGGTTCCAATTGCTTTGGGCAATTTAATTATTCATCCAAGAGGCTCCAGTCTCTAAACCACTGCAGACTGGGTAGTTTGGGATATAGAAGCTACCAAAATCTTGGCTTCATACCCAGCAGCTTCTCACCATCATGTTATATTGCCAGAAGCTTCCAACCACAAAGCTATTTAATGAGAAATTGCCAATATTCGAGGTATGGACCTATGAGCTGCTGGCCGCTGGGCTATTTATCTAGAAACTGCCGGTCTCTGAGCTATATACCCAGTACCTTTCCACCTATGAGGTATTTATGCAGTGGCAGCAGGCCTCTGAGTTGCTATTGATCAATTTACAGCATTTATTGCAGCTGGAAGTTGCCCAATGGGGCAGACTCCACTAAATAGTAGAATCACTAATATTCTGCTGAATCATTTTATGCATCTTAAGAATCTTGTTACCTTAACCTCAAATATAACTCTTGGGCTTATTAACCACAGTCGTTATCACCTGCTAGCTTTTTTTTTTTCTGTTGCTCTGTTTTTGCTGTTTGTGTTAAAAGCTGATCCTGAAGGTATTATCATTATTTCTGAGATGACTATGATGGACTTACTTAAAAAAAACTCCAGAAGAAATAGAACCATCACCAGCTTTCTTATTTGGGCAACGGCTATCCCTTGTCTGCCAGTGCAGACCATTCCTGATGAAAAGAGGTCTTCTGGGTTTGACTGCTGATTCCAGCATGCAAGTTCTTTCAGATGGTTTTGCTTTCTATCAATAGTTTTGTCAACTGCCTATCTAGTACCTTACTTAAGAACTGAGAGATTAAACATAAGGAGTGGATCAATTTAATGCTTTCCCTACTGACTGATTATGAGAACCTGAAAATAGCAATGCCAACTAGAGCTCAAAAACAGAAGACTTCGGCAAATCTTCTCTTCCAAAGAAGCCATAAAATTGAATTGACTGGCACTCGTCTTTGTTCTCTAAGACCAGGAGAAATCCTCCGAAGGAGCTGAAACACAAAAGCTATTTGTGTAAAGAACAACAAAACTTATTAGTTGAAAGAACGACTGTTATAGACTCTATATGATTAGTGTTAATCTATGTTCAGGATTATCCTATAATCCTGCTGTGCTAAATGATTGTGTTCTGATTCTGGAAAACATCCCGGTTCTTAGTTAATAAACAAATTTATATCTGCAAACCATGGTTTTCCTTAATGTTTTATTTCACATTAACTAAAGGTTCATCCAAGTTCTGGGCAATACACATAGCATTGTCAAAACACTAATTTCCTGCCATTTAGTTTACAGTCTAAGTTAAAAACATAAAGAAGACAGAATAATAAATCTCAGACTTTTGACTTGTTTTGTTTTGTTCTGTTTTTAACACATTAAGTGCTATCTCTTTTTAAATGGCTGTGATTGATATTGACACAGGGAAATTTGGGGGAAATATGTATAAAATAAATCAATTTAATAAATTCATAAAGTATTAAATATATGTATATCTCCTTGTACAGTATGTGTATTAATTGGTTTTATAGATGAGGTTTGGGAACTTGAATAGATTTAATATTGAACTGTTTAAGAAGTAATTTAACCTCTACAAAGTTCTCATCCAAAAGATGGAAATAAAATCATCTATCTCAGTGGTAAAAAGAACATGACAGATACCCTGAGAAGTTTTGTAAATAAAAAGCAAATCATGTTTAAAGGAAAATAAAATGATCCCTAGAGATGGATATAACTGCAGTTTGGAAGAATGGAGAAAGAATCACCAATACCAATACTCAATATCTAAAATTAAAACTAACAAACTATACAAATGTAAATAGCATTTTATTTACTCATCTAATAGGCCTGCTATGTTAGAAAGGGCTTTAGGGGAAATATTATCCACTGCTTCTGTTGAACGTGTCTGGAAACAGTCGTCACTCCTTTTTGAGTTTATTCAATTTTCCGAGAATTCAATCTGCTGAAATTGTCTTCTTTATATTGAGAAAAATACTGTATAATTATCTTTAGCAACCTTCCATTGGCCATATGGGACCAGTTAATTTCTTTAACATTGGATAGGTGCTCAAGTATTTGAAATAATTATTGTATGTCTCAGCTGAGCATTTAGTTGTCCGAACTGAACATACATTTTTTCTCTTTACAAACTTTAATGGTAAACCTATTCTTTGAGACATTAAGTGGGACTCTTGGGATATCAAGATTTATAGATCCTGTTCTCAAGAACTATTCAGAAGGGTAATATACTGAAACAAACATAATACTGTCTTGACTATTTAAAGTACAATATAAAAACTTCAGGGGAAGGAAAAAAGATGACTTTGAACTTGAAGAGCAAAAGAACACTCAGTGTAGGAAGTAGCACTGAAGTGACATTTGAATGGTGAAGTGACTAGGGTATGAGTAATCAGTGATGAGAAAAGTAAGATGAGGGGAACAGGTAAATTTAAAAAAAGGTATACTTAAGTTTAAATAGAGAAAAATAAACCTAAAATCACCAGTAAAAAAGTTGGAAGAAAATATAGGACACTACATTAAAAACCATGGTTAGGGAAGATTTTCTTAAATAAGAACAAACAAATAAACAATAGTTTTTAAATGAAAGATTAGCAAATATGACTATCTTCTGATAATAGAAGATATCATAAAGAAATAAAAAATAAGCCGGGCTCGGTGGCTCAGCCTGTAATCCCGCACCTTTGGGAGGCTGAGGTGAATGGATTGCCTGAGCCCGCGAGTTCAAGACCCTCCTGGGTAGGCGAGACCTCATCTCTACAATAAATCAAAAACTAGCGAGGCGTGGTAGCACGTGCCTGTAGTTCCAGCTACTTGGAAGGCTGAGGCAGAAGGATCGCTGGAGCCCAGCAAGTCGAGACTGCGGTGGCCGGGAGCGGCCACTGCACTCCAGTCTGGGCGACAGAGTGAGACTCCAACTCAAAAAAAAAAGAAAGAAAAAATAAAGCAAGAGTACGTATATGTGCTGGGAATGTGACAGTGCATATGAGAACTCCACGTACTTTACACTCAATTTTTCTGTTAAAGGCTGAAAACTTAAGCCTGAAAAAAACCTAAAAAAATAGTCTATTAAAAAAAAAAATCCAACAAGCCACAAAAAATGCAAAAAGTTAGCAGGATTGAGAGGAAAAATATGCAACATGCACCATAAAATTACTGTCCAAATTATTTAAGCACATCTACAAGTTTGAAATAAGACAAGAGAAAATAACAAATATATACACAATTAATAAAGGAAATATAAATTGTCAATAAAATATTGAAAAGTGTTCAACTTAATAATTATTAATTCTAAACACAAGATATTATTTTCATCATCTATTTGGCAAAGATTTTTAACTTAATTCACATGTCAGCTTAAAAATATATTCTCACATATTTCAGATGACACTGAAATCTAAAACAGCCCCTCTATATGTGAACATTTAAGATACATATATTTTATGACCAGGTAAATTCACTTCTCGAAGTCCCCTTTTCAGAAACATTCTGTCAAGTTCTGCAACAGGTATTTCAGCACTGCTTGGATACTGAAAAATTGAGAATAGAAAAGTCCATCACTAGGAACCTGTGAAATTAACTGTAATCTAGTCATACTAATACACATAAATATTTAATGAGATAAAAAGAAGATTGCAAAATAAAAAAGAGAACTTTATAAACATATATAAAGTGTGGCATATTTTATTTATAACCAAACATTTATCTATGAGATTTATTTATTTGTTTGTTTGCTTGCTTATTTATTTATTTGAGTTAGAGTCTCACTCCGTCACCCAGGCTGGAGTGCAGTGGCGCACTCACCACCACCCCAGCATTGACTTGGTGATCCTTCCACCTCAGCCTTCCAAGTATCTGGAATTACAGGCATGCACTACCACATCCAGCTAATTTTTGATTTATTGTAGAGACTAGGTCTTGCCAAGTTGCCCAGACTGGTCTCGAACCTATGGACCTAGGCAATCCAGTCACCTCGGCCCCTCAAAGTGCTGGGATTACAGGCTGAGCCCAACCAAAATATATATTTATATATTATAGTGTGTGGTATGTGTATATATATTATACATAAAATATATATTATATATTTTACACATATAAATAGAATTAAAAATCTAGAAAAGCACAATGTAAGTTAAAAAATGGTAGCTTTGGGGGAGGTTTTAGAAATGGGGTTGGAGATTCTCCAAGTGACTTTTTAGACTTAACAGTTATGCTTTGATTACTAATAAATTTAAAAAGTAAAACAAAAAATTAGCAGTGCTGAAAAATAAAGCTGGTCCTGCCCTATGACTTGGTAGAGTTAGCATCCTCCATTCTACTATTAATAAAAATTTTGAAGAGCATAATGAAGTTAGCATCAGTTCTCTACAGTCTGTAGCATACTGCCTTCTAGAGCTACAGAATATGAGGATTCATATATGTCTGTCCTGTTCAAATTCAATTGAGCAAACAATATGCTTAATAAATAACACACTGTGTCCATAGCTCCAGAGGCAGCAAATTCATAGTACCCAAATGAAGTCATGTAAATTTATCTTTAAAAATACACAAATAAAATGTATTCTTCCATAAATTTTACTGTGTAATTGACCAACGTTCTATTTCTCCTAAATAAAAGAGAAACATCTACATTTCATATGTTTTGGAAAAAAGAAAAAGAAACAGCTGTAAGAATTTTACAAATACAAATATTAGCTATAAATGCCTAAGACTTTCTTTGCTTCTCCCCCCTCTTTTTTATACACAACCAAGAAAGGATTACAAGTAATCATAAAATGCATTATACTTTCTGTCCTAAATGCTATTAATCACACAAAACTCTACTCTGGAATCTATTTAATAAACAATCTATTTAATGAATGGTTAATGTCTATGTTTGTTTATATACAAGACAGTTTATATTTAGATGAATAAGAATTTATTTTATAAAAAGGTTTAAAAAGTTTATAAAGCTACTACATTTGGCATGCTGTCAAAGGGCTTAGTATACTGCATAATTTTCATGTTTGTTACTATTTACTATCTTGAAACTGTTTTTGGCCACTGTCTTATAAAGTCCTTCTTTTAACATCATGTATTTTTTGATCGGTGTATTAAATCTACATATTTTCCAAGCCCAATGTAAATGTTACTAGGTTTTCAAACTTTTTTGTTCCGTTGATTTTCTTAATTGTAACTTTTTCTTTGAGTTTTCTAAAAACTGCCTATCAAAGTTCTCAATGTACAGTTGGTATGCCACATGTGATTTGCTAAGGGAAAGTGAATCCCATCTGCCAGGAGGCCCCTAATGAGTAGAGGTCTCGTCTGACAGT